TTGTTTTTGTTTGGTTGGACCAGATCTAAGGGCAGAGCTCTGTGTCACTCCACTGAAGACTTCCCTCCAAGTTAACCCTTTGCCATGACTCAGGGCTCACTGGGTAGGATTGTTCAGCCAGCTCCAGGTCCACTGAGCAGCAAGGGAATTGTATGGGTATCCATCATATTCTTTACTTAAATCACAATATATGATGTCTATGACAGTCTGTTCCCTTTATCTTGCACCTAAAGCAGAAGGGTGCTCAGCTAATACTGGCTACGTTGAAGCTAAAGAAAATTATTAGAGAGTGACAAAAGAAATCCCCCAGTGGATTATTTCTGAGATCCACTCCTTTCTTTCATTTAAAAAGTGGGGCAACATTGTCCCTATCCAGTCTTTGGGTACCCTTCTGTTTCCTGAAAACTGCCTATATTCTAGTTCTTTCTGAAGCCCTATGAGACTTGATTCTGTCTTCTCTCTCATGGGAATAATACTGACCCTTCCTATGTCACAGAGCTGTGTAGGGGTCCAGAAGAAAGGCTGGGCACAACAAAATAGTCACTTAGGCTGCCTACATAGGGGCTGTGTGGATCTTTGGAAGAATAGTTACAGCATAGCAGCATAGTCACATCCTGCAGCTCCCAAAGTAAATGTCACACATGGGACCAGACACCATATATGATCAGGGAGACATCCCATGAGGAGGAACCTCTCATCGTGGTGCTGCTGTTTCAAGGTTAAAAAAAAAAAAGGGAAGCTGGGCTGGGGTGCAACAGAGGTTTGATCTCAGGTTTTGTTCTTTCTCCTTCTTTGTCAACTTCCCTTTTTCTCTGAGTCAGTGCTTTAGAATCACTAAAATGCATTAGCTTCTCAGGAAGCTACCCTATGGTAGCTCATGAAGACAGAAGCTAAGAACTCAGGAGAACAGCCTAATGCCCGCATCACCAGCCTCATCCACCCTCTGTCTCCCATGAGGTGTCTGGACTTGGATGGGGCTGCACAGAAAACACACCCATAAAGAAGGTGTGGAAAGAAACATTCTACTCCTCTCCTAAACTAATAGGAATCCCCTCCAAACTCAACTGTGTAATGAATGCAAGAATGAACTCAAACAACCCACCCCCTGCCTACCAGTGGTGATCATCCCTCTGGAATTCTTAATAAACTTAACGTCTTGGGATATATATACAGCAATTATTTTGTTACCTATAATTTTTGTCTTCTCTCTTCCAAGGTGAACCAAAGAGGGTATGGAAGGTTTGCAGACATTGATTAAATATGTTTGCAAAGATTTAGACATGAGGGTATTTACTGATGCTATTATAACAAAAACTGGAAAAATATAAATGCCTGACAACAGAGGATTGTTCAAATACATTATGGTACAACCATCCACTAGACTGCTATACAGATATTAAAAATCAGGTTGCCAAAGAGTAAATGAAATGATGTTAACAACATAAAGGTAAAAGAAAAAAAGCAAGTTACAAAGCAGAATATTGTACATACAAAGAGCATAATTTTTCTAAGAATATGTTAACAATGATTACAACTAGTGGAATTATGAGTAGATTTTTTTATTTTCCTCATTTTTGCTTATATGCTTTTTCCAATTTTTTTAACAGTAATGTGCATTGCTTTTGAAATACGGAGTGGGTCATAATAAAAGCTTGTTTTTGCTAGCAAAATAGAAGTAGGAAAACCCCCTCTTTCAAGGCACCCTGGAAGTTGAATGGATATGAAGCCAGTTTACAGCCTGCTCTCCAGATTATCTATAGTCCCATGGAAGCTACCTTGAATCCTGGCAGAAGCGTCCTTAAAATCAGTGTGTCTAACTTGAGATGAGTTATTAAAAATGGGACTCTCCTGCCAAACCCTAGGGCTATGGGCCACTCAGCCCATAGAAAAGGGCAGTGGCAGAGCCCCTGGGCTTTCAAAGCACAGCAGCAGCCCTAGCGTGAGAGGAATCTCCCTCCCTCCTGCTTCTGCTGAAGGTTTGCAGACAGCTCCCTTTCCATCCCACAAGAGGAGACAGGCAGATGAGTCACTGCACAGGCTCGGATTAAAGGAATATTATTGCGTGAGCAGAAATGGGTCTATTTTATTATCTGTTTCTTGACACCTTACAGATAGATATGCTTTTCCCACAAGACAGGCAATTTCCTTTAAAAGCCAACGATTTTGTTTGCTGAAGTTAAGAAATGACCAATGAGAATTACAAACTTGTGCATCTGAAGAGTTGCCAGGCTGAAAAGATGTAGTGGAAATACTGAGGGAGGTGGTTTATAACTCTCAGACTCTAGGTTTTCAAATTTGCAAAGTGATGCCACTCTTCTAAAAATATACAGAGGAACTGCAGAACCCATTCCCCTTTTCACTTTCCTAAGAGTTGTTTTTTTCCCCCCTTTAAGAAGAATACCAGAATTGGTTTACAAAGGGAGATTCACCACTTCAGAGATTTCACTGTTTTTCGTTGGGATGATGGTCAGGGGATGCTATTTTAAGGACTTCCTTCTCTAACACAGATTTTTCCATACTGAGAGGACAGATAAGGTATGTTCTACTAATGCTCCTCATTAAATTCACATGCATGCCAACAGTCATTTCCCTTTGTCTTCTTGTCCCATGACAATAGATTGCATATCATAGGAAATTGGAACGGAGACATTATTTGGTTTGGATCTCTCTTTTCCATTGTTTAATTCCACACTCAATCTTTTATTCTATGCCTGCCTCCTTTGCAGAAATATACTACGAGTGAACATAGGAACAGCTAAATGAATAGGTATTGTTATTTTGAGTCTGATTTCATAGACTTTTCAGGACACTTTGACCAGTGCTTCCTCCTCCCCACCCACAAGCACTTATCTCTGGGCCAAAATGTACTGGTATTCCATAAAGACCTGATGACTGATGGGCATATATGTGTTGTCAATGTGCATTCCCTTTTCTTGTCTACTGCTATCACATTCCAGTACAGGAGCAGCCCTGTTTAAGTTACTGCTGGTATACTTTATACATAGATGTGTCTGTGCAGCCCTTACTCTGTACCACCTGTCCGCTGAAAACACACAAACAAAAGCCAAAAACAACAAAACAAAACAAAAAACAACTCCCGCCAAGTGCAAGGAATGAAGTTCTAAGGCAAAAGAGAAAGTCTGACATTCCTGAACCTGAACACAGCCTTTTCAATCCAATGAATGCTGCTGTTCCATGAAGCTGCCACTGTTGCTTTACCTCAAGACAGAAAAGCTCTTACAGCAAACTTTTAGAACTATCCTAGCTGTTTGTTTTCTGAGTATTAACTTGCTTCCAAATTTTGCTATTGTGTTTTTCTTTTCATTTTAGAAAGTGGTTTTAATACATTTTCTTGTTCCAAACAGGATCCATCAGATCAAAGAATGAAAGTTCTTTCTACTTATCGAATATTAACTGTGTGCCAGGCATTAGGTAATAGCTTCCACACTCATTATTTCATTTACTCTTTTACAATCTCTCTATGAAGGAGATGCCAACACATGAGGAAAGAGAGAAGTGGGCCGTTTGTTCTAGAGCGTGCATCAAGTGTGGGGGCTCTTTTGACCATTTCATCAACCTTCATCCAACTTGTATTACTAAGTCCATGAATTTGGTCATCCAGAGAACTTTTTCTTAGAACTCAAAGCAAAGTGTTATTTGCACTTGGTAAAGCTAGACCTTCATTAAAGTAGGAGGGCAGCCCCAGCTAACCCAGAAGCCAAAACTCACTTGTTAAGTGACACTAGACCACAACAGTTAGGAACAGGTGGCCACATCAGAGAGTTCCAACTTCAAGTCTCAGCTTACCCACTTTTTGGATATGAGATCACAGGGAAGTTATTTGAGACTCGGTTTCCACATCTGTAGAAATAGGTTGAATTCTACAAAATTGCCAACTTTCAACCATGTTTTTTTAACCTCCAAAAAGAATTTTCAAATGGTTCTACTTAAATTCATCACTGGTTCCTTATACAGATGAAATCAATGAGCACAGGAAACACTGTAAATGGAACCATTTAATGGACCCTGTATTACTGATTTCTTTTTACTCGGATCAATAGTTTGCAATTTCTTAACACTTTATATATATATAAAAGCTAGCGTGAAGCTGTGTAAATGTTGGAGCCTGTAAATTAGGGAGACAATAAAAATGCATGGATAATCAAGAATTAACAACTAAGGCCTCCCTGCTCTGTGCATTTCTCTCCTACTTTAGTCTCTTAATTAGTACATAAATTTACAAATGCTTTTCTTTCTTTCTTCCTTTTTTTTTTTTTTTTTTTTTTTTTAGAAAGTGGAAGGAGAACATTGAGGAAGTTTTTACATTGTTTAATCCCATCAACAAAATAAAGGTGTAAAATCAATTCTTGCCTCTCAATTTGGGAATGCTAAGTGGCCGGGCAGCTTGATTGGCAGAGCAGATCGGACCTTCCAGGCTAGGCAGTGCCTGGCCTCACCCAGCCATCAGAACCAGCTCCACAAGGACTTGCCTCACCTGTCCCGCCCAAGAACAGCTGGAGTTACCATTACTGGCCGTGTGTTGTTCACTTCCTCGCTAGGTGCCAGGCCCTGTGCTTGGTCCCTCACATGAATTATTGTATTCACTCCCCACGACATTCCTACGAGAAGGAAACTGCCATCCCTCTCCCCCTTTCCCCATTTTCCGAGTGAGAAAACAGACCCACACAGGTCTCGTCCAAGGTCTCTGAACGGTGGACTCGGACTCGAACCCGGTCAGTCCCAGAACTCTGAAAACACCGATCCTCTTAAAAGCGGGTAGAGGCACTTTTTCACTTAAGAATCCTGCAAACTTGGCCACACCCAAGGAAAGGGTCTCTGCATCGCTGACCCGCACAACCTTGGGTTCCCGGCTTTCGGCGCTGGGCACCGATGGTGGGGGAGGGAAGCGGGGTATTTAACCCCAGCCTGGAGCTCGCGGGGCGCCGGACGCTCCTCAGCACTCGCGCCGCCTCTGCCTCCTCCCCACTCTCTCGGCGCGCCCCACCCTCCGCCCCGTGCTCGCCTAACGCAGGCACCGGCCGGCGGGCGCGGGGAGCGGGACACCGGTGGCGCTCGCCTCAGCGGAGCCGCCCCCTGGCCGCAGCCGCGGGCCACGCACTGCCCAACCCGCGCCACCCGGACTCCAGCCACCCTGCTGCCCGCATCCAGTGCGCCGCGGCAGCCCGAGCCGGGACGCCGGCCCCAGCGCCCCGCAGACGGGCAGGCGACGGTGGACGTCCGGCCAACAGCCTGAAGCATGGATTCGGATTCCGGGGAACAGAGCGAGGGGGAGCCCGTGACCGCCGCAGGTACTGAGGGACCGCGACAACCCGGCTGGGAGGACTGGGACTGGAGAGGAGCAGAGACTGGGGCAGAAAATCTGGAGTGTTTCTCGGAGCTGCGGGACGGGAGGCCGATCCCTGTAGCTCGATCCCTTGCAGGCCAGGGCTGGGGATTGCTCGGCGCTTTGAGTTTGCTTTGGGCTTCCTCCACCATCCCGTTGCACTTGGGCAGGCGGGAGGGAGAGGAGGTGCATTTGCGGATGGCTTTCAGTGCTGTGGGTCCCCCGCGGCGGGCTAGGGTCGCCCGGGCTGGGTGGGGGCGGGGAAGGGTTTAGGAAATCCGAGTCCTGTAGTTTGCTGCAGAGAGGGTTGCAACACATCTGCCTTCTGAAATAACTTTCCAAGCGCCGGCCGGGTGCTCAAACCCGAGATGCCAGAGCCACGCAGCCGAGCAGATGACCGGGTCCCAGGGCGTGACAGGGGACACTGGAAAGAAAAGACCCCACGAGTGGACCGGCAGGAGTCAAGCCTCAGCTGGTGGCTGCGGTTCCCGAGGCTGATAAGCAACCCAGTGCAGAAGAGCTTGCGGTCCCTGCCGTGCAGCTGGCAAAGGAAGTCCCCGAGGAGGGGTCCCCGAAAACAGACGCGGGGGCGCACTGGAGCCGGGCGTCGCCTCTTAGAAGCGCCGCCGGCTTTTCACAATCGATAGTTATCGAAGCAATGGGAGGATGCTTACTTAGGAGACAAAATGAATGTCCTCCCCCGCCTCTCCCTGATACTGAGCAACAGGAGGAAGCCACCCACAACCGTGGGTCGACTTACCGCAGATTCTGCCCACCTCCACCAGCCCGCCCCGCCCCCCCCGCCCACAGGTCCAGGCACCTGGGACCGCTTGCCCTCCTTCAGCGCCCCCAGCTCCCGTTGACCTATGCGTCACTGAAAGTTAGCCCTGTGCCTGTAGGCTGGGACCCTCCTGGTACAGAATGAGGTCTGGGTCTGATTCCCACTTTCCCCAGTGTTACACCTGAGGGCCAAGGGTGGGCACCATCCGACCTGGAGTGGGTACAGAAAGGCTGGTTAAGGAGCCAGGCAGCATAGCACCCCACATATTATTATTCCCTTTCGTCCACATAGCACCTAGCCTTATGATTATCTACATTTTGTAGAGGTTCAGTGGTTAAAGGACTTGCCAGACTCACAAGGAGTAGCCAAGGCCCAGTGACTCTCTTCTGCTGCACCATACCCCTCATAGAGCAGCTGTAGTCATCTCCTTTAGGTGGGCAGGTGGGAAGGAAGACTAGCAGAAAGGAAATGTGACACATCCCCAAGATGCCTGTATGTGAGGATTAATGTGTGTGTGCAAGAGCCACCTGCTTTGTGTAGATATGTGAGGATATAATTCATAAACACAAGTCCTTTACCTGCCTGTGTATCTTTGACTGTAAAGCACCAAGATTTGGCTTTACAGGTTGCTTATCAATCTTCTTTCATCCTTTAAAAGTTCCAGTAAGTGTTTCATGTACATCTAAGTATATTTCCAGAGCTCAAAGGGAAGGGGGAACATTGAAACTGACAATTTACTCTCTCAATCGCAGTAACTAGAATTCTTCATGGTACCTCTACTCCAACCTACAACCTCTTCTGGTGGCAGAAGTTAAGTATTGAGAGAGAGAGAGGCAAGAGGATAAAAATGCTTAGGCTGAAGGAGGGAAAAGAAGTGGGGAGACAGGAAAACTCCAGGGTCTTTGGTATTTGGGGAAAAGGGGTGGGAAAGAGCTCCCATTCACCCTGGTGTCTTCTCCTCCACCCTGCCTCAGTTTTGAATATCCCTGCCTGTAGATGTTCATGTCAGCTCATGCCCAAAGCACCTCTGCACAGCTGACAGCAAACATTATCACTAAGGTCAGATGCATCTGATGAAGAACAGGGCAGCCAGTTCTCGTGAGCTCACACCATTTGTTTGCACATTACTGTTTTCTGCCATCATTTCTTCTTTCTTCATGTGCTTGACTCTCACAAGTTGAATATTTTTTTGTAATGTCATGAGCCATTCTGCTAAATGTCATTCAGTCTCATTATTTTCAGTCTTAAAGTATTCTCCTTTGTGACAAAGCTTTAAAACTAGATTCTAATTCTCCATCTTGCTTTGGCTGCATCCTATCAAATGGAAATTCTTGTTGCAGAATCAGACACCAGTTAATTGGCAGGTATGTTATCCATAGGGATTGACCTTTGTCCTTAAGAGAAACTTGAAATTGATTTGTGGACCTGTGTCTTTTCAAGGTGAATGGGTCTGCAACCGAGAAAGATAACAGTGAGAATGTGTGAGTGTACGCGCCTTGTAGGGAGTTGAGATGTAAGACTGCTACCTCCTCAATTCCCTTCCCTCTTGGAACTTGTGAAAAAGCCATAAAATGGACCTTGTAAGGTTAAGAGACAGAACTCTGGAATCATAAAGACCTTAGTTTAAGTTTCCATTTGATGGGCAAGTTACTTAACCTCTACAACCTCAGTTTCCCCCTTTGTAAAGTGGGGATAACTATAATACCACAAAGAGGTTATGAGGATTACATAAAATAACACATGAAAGGTATTCCTAGTAATCATTCAATAAAATGGAGCTGTTATTTTGATTATCACTTGATTGGATTATTTGTAAGGATACATCTAAATAGTGAACTCTAGTCTACTATATTACACTAATTTGTAATAAACAGATCACTAGGTGTATATAAAGCAGTTAGTAATATTGTCATTATGATCACATTACTATAATTACCTGAAGAGATATATTTTGAAACTTTTTCCTTTTCAGCAGATGCATCCTGCATGTGTGTGTGTGTATGTGTGTGTAGAGATTTTTAGTTCACATCTCTTATCTGCATTCATCTTCCAGCTCAAGGTATGAAGATGGGAACAGCACACCCTGATACTTTCACCACCCTCTCCTCCAGCTCTAGGGAAAGTTGTATAAAACAGAGAACCTCTTACTCAATCCACCTGCCAACCTAGAGATGGGACGGGTTCCTTCTTTCCTATGGCTTCAAATGGGAAAAGAGTGACAATGCCCTTCCCTCTGCTTCTTCTTCCCTTCCCCACCCCCAGAAATCTTACCCCTTCCAGATGGCAGGAGGCATGGGAGGTGCTTGCCTCCCTCCCTTCCATTTTTGTCCATCATGACCATCTCCCTGGTCTCCTTCCCATCACCTACTGGCTGGTTAGCAAGGCAGTCTTCACAGGCCACTCATTCTTTACCCCTTTGAAGAAGCTCTACCAAATCTTCCCACATCGTGCAGTGAAGATCCATCACACCCCGCAGAACAGAGGGTTGGGGGCTGGGGATGAGATTTGTCTTGATCTGCATTTTTTTGTTTTGTTTTGTTTTTTAGGAAGCACAGGGTGATAATTCTGTGTCATTCTGCTGCCTGCAGCTCTCTGCTGCCTTTCTGTCATTTTATGGTTCTTTCTATGATTAGGAAAGAGGCAGGGTTTATGGAACACTGGATTCATTCCAGAGACCCAACTTGGCAGTCTTCCCTTTGGCAAACCCACCATCCATCTCTCAGAAATCCTAGAGCTTGGTGTATTAACTCGAGAGTGATTAAGAGTCTTTCCTAAGAAGCAACAGGGGAGTAAACATTAGCCATGTCAGCTTTTTTCCCCATTCTGGTTTGGAAGACCAAGATAGTCTGCTGAAGGCAGATGAGCTCCTTCCACCCACAACTAGGTTAAGCTGATGGGGCATCCTTGTGCCTGGATGGGTGTTGCAGAAAAGCATTTCCAGCCAGGCACTGTGAAACATGGTTGTAATCCCAGCAATTTGGGAGGTGGAGGCAGGAGGATCACAAGTTCAAGGCCAACCTAGGCAACTTAACAAGACCCTGTCTCAAACTTAAAAAGAGCTAGGGGTGTAGTTCAGTGGCAGAGTACCCTGGGTTCAATCCCCAGGACCGGGGGGAAAAAAGAAAAGAAAGAAAAGCATTTCCACAAAAAGGGGGTCTGTGTATGGTAGAGGAACTTCAAGAGGAAAAAAGAACTAGAAAACAGCCAACCCCTAACTCTGCCCTTCCTGTCTCTATAAGTCCTCAGCTTGGTCCAGGTGAAAAAGTAACAAGGAGTAGATAGATTCAATGGGTAGATTCAATAGGACATTTCAGGAGGCAGACACAGCTTGAGCAGAGGCACAGATAACAGGGAGGCAACTGGAGGTGAGGGCATATATCGGGAGGTCCTAAGACATAAAATGAGATGAATGTAGGTAAATTATAAGAAGAATTATAAACTTGATTCTGATGGTAGCTGGGGAGACAGAACCTATGATTGTTAAGCACAGACATGACCAAATGAGAGCTGGGTATTCTGAAGGTGTGTCTGGCAGAGATAGAGACGTGCAGGGATTGCCTAGGCTTGGAGCCTAAGCTTCCAGGGTGTGGCCACAATATCTGAGAGGGTGGTAGCACTAAGGCAAGGCAGAAGAGGAAGGATGCAAATGGCATTTCAGAGAAATCAACAACAGAAGTTAGTGACAGATTGTACAGAAGGAGTGGAAGGAGATGGTGGCATGTTGAGTTGGGATGAGGGCAGAACAGCTGAGTGGAGATGTTCTGCAGGCAGAGATATTCAGAAGACAGACTCTGCCACCCTGTACATGCTCACCAGCACTGGGTACCTCTTTTTCCTGTAGACACTTGGCAGTAATGTTTTGGTTAAAGGGTCTTTTCCTCTTTAGACAGCAGACTCTGCAGGTGCCTTCGTTTGGAGGGATTGTGAGGTTTAGGGATTTTCTATTCCCATGGTTGGGTTCCTGATAGAGGTCATTGAGTAATCTTTGTTGACAGATTGATGATGGATAGATTGGCCAAGTAAGGGCAGGGACTGCATAGGGATGATATACCATTGGCTGTTAGTCATATTCCCATTTCTTGTTCCTGTTTTTGAAATTTGCAAGATTTCAGACTCATCCACACAAGGAGCTGTAGCTGTTTTGACAGTCAAGACCATGACTTGTACTTCTTCATGTTCCCAAG